CAAGATTGTGTAAGATCAACCTATTATCCATCTCATGCGCAAACAAGTCAGATAGGGAAATTAATTTAAGTTCATTCTTTCATAAGCACTCCCAGAGGTGTACACCTAAGTTTTGAAAACAAAAAACAAAAAAAAAAAAAAAATCATGGAAGAATATGAGAAAGAGGTTTGAAATAGTTATCGACTATTCAAAGAATTTAACTAGAGAAGTTTAGTTCCAATATGAGAAAACAGTAGAAATCTGTTAACAATGAAAAACAGCAAGAAAACTAAGGGAGAAAGAGAGGGATGAGCAGAAGGAGAGGAAAGAAAGAAAAAATAGAGAGAAGAGAGAAGCCAAAAGATAGTATGGCCACCCCATTCAACATTTATATTTAAAAGAGAAAAAAGCACAAAGACAGGCACACCCCTAGCGAGGCGACTACTAAAAGGACAGCCCAGTGCACAAGGCTCCTGCCAATGCGGGGTCTGGGGAGGGATAGATGTACGCAGCCTTACCTCTGCACATATAGTGAGGCGACTACTGCTAGAAACAAATAAAAACAAATGAAGTAACATGGGCCTCATGGGCTGAGGCCCAACAGCATTAAGAAATTATTTGAAATAAGGGCCCAATGACTGTCAGTAAAAAAACCAAATGCCCCAATATTGAATTGGATCTTGCAGAAACATAATAAACAATAAATAAATAAGATCACCTCCCCTAGCCCCAGGCACCAATTCTTCAATATGGGAAAAAAATTATGGTAACCCTAACTTTTTACAGAACTTGAAGAGTACTTATTGGTCCATATATATATATATATATATATAAACTAGCATGTGCCATCACAATTATGCAATTACACCATTCCACAAAATTAGGGCCTCCAACTTAGAAAAAGGTTAGATATTAAAAGTAACTGAAAATATACCTGAGTGTAGTTTGAAACAAGAACTATGCGATCATCTGTTTTCTGACGAAGTTGGGCCAGTAATCTAGCCAGGACGTGCATTTTTCCAGAGAGTTCAACCCAAACCCCATCACCACCAGTCCATGATCCAGATCTGATTAAATAAAGCACAAGGCACCTATGAAGGAAAAAACTGTTTCTAAAGAAGAGGCGTAAATAATACCATAGCAAAGTGCTTACCTGCCAGAAAACATCTCTGGTGGGAAAAATCGTATGCAGTCCTCAAATCCCAATGTACCTGGACTTCCACTCCTGATTGTATCATAAATAAGCTGGAAGACAAATTACCATGGTTAAAACTAGACTAGTATCAGGAATGCATATATAAAATGAATATGAAAACTAAAAGAGGGATGCAGACTAGCACTAGAATATGAATGAAGGCTGGGAAAATTTTATCCCATTGAAAGCAGTCATTTATCTTTAGTCAGACATTCTTCAATAATTAGTAGGTTTTTGTACCCAGCAAATCTGAAGAATATCAAGGTATGAAATATGAACTTCTCCATTAACCTAAGTGACATGTTGCAAGTTAAAAGAGCTAGAAGGGCTAGAGGTAGACCAAAAATGACATGGGTCGATGTAGTAAGAAATGATTTAAGCATTCATAATTAAACAATTGATATGACATTAAACAAAATGGAATGGTGAAACGGGATTCATGTAACCAACCCCATATAGTTAGGATAAGGCTTAGAAGAAGACAATGACGAACTTCTCCATTAACCTCTTGCAATTCAAAATGTTATCATGTAAGCAGAAGCATGGCATCAAGAGGTTGCAACCATGACTATGAGGGCTTTCTCACTATTCTTTTCCAACAGAAAAAACGTAGGAGCAAGAGGGATAGTGGTGCTCCAGTGGAGCACTGAGAGAGGGAGAGGCCAAGAGGCAGCGAATTAGTGTGAGGGTTTCTCAATTCAAAATGAAGCAACATGGTTTGATTTTTAGTTTAGATAAAACGACACTGCATAGTCTAATATTATATGTTATATAAGTTGTTTAATATGTTATATAATACGTGTAATTGTGTATAATGTAAAATATATAATATTTTTATATTTTATAATATATATATATATAAATAAATCGAGCCAGACTCGCAAGCTTTCAAGCCAAATATTTTATTGGCCAAATTCAAGTTTGAAAAACTAATCAAACTTACCTTGAGATTTCAACTCAATTAGCATTGAACTCGAATCAAGCCTAACTGAGTTTGAGTTTGAATTCTTCGATTAAAGCTCGATTTGATTGCATTCCTAATGCTAACCGTAAACAAACATTCTTCAATAAGCAGTAGGTTTTTGTCCCCAATAAATCTGAAGAGTTTAAAGATAGTGTTACTTTGATTTGGGTACCAATCCGTAGGCAGAAGAAGCTCCAAGGCTGTTATTGAAAATGATTAATTGACACAAAAGATTAAGAGGTGCAACATTGGTCTACCTAACCCAGCCAATTTGTTCTTCTTGCATGGTTGGGTTTGGGTTTTCAAGCTTTGGGCCAAAGCTTTGGGATTGACACTAGATCAGGTTGGGCTAGGGTTAAGGCCTTGGGCCCAAGCCAGGTCCAACCCAACACAATGTTAACCTAGCATCCTGAGCTTGTGTAACATTTTTAACATACATCCACTATGTATTACATTGTGTATGTATGCATATTATGTACTTGCTAGCACACATATACATATGTTGATCAGGCATTTACAGTAATACCAACACGTGCATTTCCTATTGGGCCCAAATTCACTAACACAGAGCATGCACACTGCTAGCAATTACATCTACAATGATGTTTCTATTGTATTTTTCTTTCATTTCCTTTTTCTCCAAAAGGATTGTATAGCTTAAAGAATTTCTAGAGTAGCAAAATATGTAATACAAAACCCTCAAACCCAACCAATCTCCACAAGCCCAACCAAGGACACCCAAACCCATCCATCCTAGAGCTCAGCCCAACTTTGTGCCACGGTTTAGCTTAGGGTGAGAAAATTTGAGAGAAAAATGAATTGATTGTATTGTCTTGGAAGGAGCATATACACAACTTTATATAAAATTACAGAGCTAATTTACAGGGTGATAAAATAGGAAACTAACTTTCCCAAAAAAACTAATTTCTATATCAGTGGGATTCTCCAATTAATATCCCATGATTCTAGGATATCCCATGATTCTAGGAAATTAAGTTTCCTAAACTGATGGACCTAAAATTATGGAGAATCAATCAGAGAGTTGGACCAGCCCTAGGAATCTTCTACTTTCCAACATAGGGTATGCTTGGGCTAGCCAACAAGGGCTTTACCTCAAGTTGGACCAGCCCTAGGATTTGGGGCCAACTCTTTTAGTTGGGGTTGTTGGGCCTTGGTTGGTCCTAAACCAGGCTCATCCCAACCCACAGAAACTCCCCCCCCAACCCCCAACATACCCCTCTAACACCTATAATTAAAGTTCGGGTGTCATCTCCATGTCAAAACACTTCAATTTTATGTAAATTCCATGTCAATACCCTGTTCACACCTTTTCCTTGGTTTATCTATATAACAAAAGAGATCAAGTTAAGACACAATAGTAGCTAGATAGTTTGCGTTTGTGTCGGATAGACAAATGTTAGACAGTGTTCTAGTGGCAAATGAACTAATTGACTCAAGGAAAAGGGAGGGGAGGCCTGGGCTGCTTTGTAAACTAGATCTGGATAAGGCTTACGACCATGTTAATTGGAATTTAATCATTCGATTGACTGAATTATATTGCATGAAATTTTCCCAAAATTTTCACACAAATACATTTACATCTCAGCTTTTATGCAAAGAGAACCTTGCAAATTGGATATGTTACAAGACATTCACAGAGAATTAATCACGAACCATAACTAAAGTTGTAAGGGTAGAAATCTCAGCAACAGTGTTTTAAAAGTGCAAGGTGCAAAAAAAAGTGCAAGGGGCAATTTACAGCTGAGGTGTGTGCCTTTTTGAAGCAAGACACAAAATTACAAAAATGCCAAAAAAATCAAAATAAATGTCAGAAAATTCAAAAAATAAAAAAAATATATTAAACATAATATTAATAAAAAGTATAAACTTAAATTTTAAAATAAATGTTTTAAAAAAACCTATTATCTAAAATTAAAATACATGAACATGACATGTAAAGTGCATTCAAATGAAAATTTGAAAATAAAACCAAACATATAAAACATTTTCAAGCATGTAAAACCCACAATCTCTATTTCTTTCCTCAATTGCATTACTTCAAATAGCTAATGTGATGTAAAACATCTTGCATTCCTAATTCTATGAGCCACCTTTGTACCAAGCCCCTCAAGGCAAGCCCAAACAAATCCATGTTAGGGTCATAAATTCTTAATCCTTACACAAAAATAAATAATGTTATAATGTTAATTGTCTTTTAAGAAGATATTTCTAGGGTCTGTTTGGTTCGCAGGAATAGGGATCTGGAATTGGAGTTGAAATGGTCCATTCCGATTCCAGTCGTTTGCCTGGGCAGAACCAGAACCCTATTCCCATTCCTGGTAGAATGGCATTCTCCCATTTGAGGGAATGGTCATTCCCGTCTGAACCAAACAGACAGGAGGAATAGACCATTCTGATCCCAACTGCAAACCAAACGGACCCCCAATTCTTAATGAAAACATCAATTTAATTGATATCTCACCTTTGGATGATTGCACAACTTTTTAAGGGCTGTAATATATGCCAAAATTTTTGACTGCTTCACCTCCTCAGAAATTACCCGTTTAACCTGTAATGGAGGTCATGAAAGGTGTAGTAGTCCAGTCAATCACTTCCTTGTATCATATCCAATGAGAATTGCACYTATTGCAGAAACATATAATGTATGGCAATAAGAAAAAAGTGTAAAAACCTACATTTTTCGAATGTATAAAATGGTTATACAGTTCTAATTGGAGAGGAGTCAGCTTGCAACAAACAACTTCAACTATCTGCATGGGAAATATCAACTCAATTATTCAAGAACTAATAAGTTCAACATTCGTTCAACAAAACTGTTAATATCAAGCAAATGCTCATAAATATAAAAAGAAAATAACAGGAATAAATATGAAGCATGGAAAGGTGATAAAGAAGTGATTATTGGATGTGTCCTTTTGTGATATCTTGTTTATGAGTGCAGATGCAAAGGTTTTTAGCTGAATTCAGCTTGGAGAAGCATTGAATGCTCCAAAAAGTGTTGTGCTAAGTGCCAAGTGTATGCATCACATCTAAGCATCCAATATTAAAAATCTATATATTTTTTTTAGTAGTAATGAAATCAATAAAGGTCATAGAGGCAACAGGCCCCTGTCAAGATGAAAATGAATTGACAAGACAAAATTTTCAAAAAAAAAAAAACACGATCATCAGATGTCTTTATCAAGTCCAGCAATGTCAGGTATACCTCTTAGATGGAGATAACGCTATTTATACAATGTGTCACAAATACAAAATCTCCACCTTGACATTGAACTTAGTTATATTAAAAAAGAGAATCTGGTCAAGCATGAAGATCATATGCACACTAACATTAACTTCAAATATGTTTGTTACTTACTCCAATGCTGATCCCAGTTATCCAGGATCTTGAGAGGGTTAAACTGGCTACCATCCTAACCTTTAGCATTACTTCAACCATTTTAAGGTGTTAAAGATAAATCAGTTTCCTGCTTATTTGTAAAAGAAATAGAAGTTTCATATTGATCAGGGTCCAGGCTTCAAGTCTTAAAGGAAAACCAGACCCTCTGTTTCAAATAATAACCATTGCAAGGTAAGCGTATTCTCAAGCCTACATGAACGACAAAGGACAGTCAACCTTGTATTTATGAAATGCAATCAAGCTTCCACTATACAACCAATGAATTATTTCCATTCATTATTTTGTATGAAGAAATTGTTACATTTTTTTCGCTTTTCATGCTACTGCATGTTTACAACTCTATCTTTTTTCTTTTGAGAAAAAACATGTTTTAGAAATCTTATTTGGAGCACTAAGTGTTTCCAGAAACTATTTACACATAGGCATCACCTCCTAGTTAGTCTTAGAGTATATCCATACAAAGATAACTCCATAAATACAAAGGTGCAAAAACAGAACATAGTTGCCCAACAAGGCAACAACAGAACACCAAATGAAATGACCAAGGAGATATTATGAAATAGTAACAAAGGATGATTGATGCAAGATGTGTAATGTGGATAGATATTTTGCCAGATGAATGCACTAAGCAATGTTGAACAAAAGTTTGGAGTAGATACCAAAATAAACACCATACCTTTGGTGGTAAGTGATTTGATAACAGAGCATTTGTCCTCCTCAGGATAAACTGAAACAAAAAGCCATATGTTAACTTGAGGAGAAATCTTACACCAACTACAAAGCTAGGTAAGTCATTGGTTACAAAAAAAAAAAAAAACTGCACATCTGAAACTATGATGCAGTATATGCAGCTTGACCACAAGATAACAGCTTCAGGTGTTGGTGTTTATTTTCAACAATAAATGTTTTTGTTTTTATATTAAGATAAGGCATGAATAGGTCTCTCAAAAAACTAAAGAAGATCTTACAATCTAGCCCATACAACAAAAAGAAAAGATTACCTGATTTACTTTGGCACTTAATTCTGCAGAACGTTCAATGCCTAGTTTTCTCTCTTCTTCTGTTGCTGTAGGTTCTCTTCCACAAATGATTGGAGCCTTGATTCAAGGTGAATGTCACAATTTGAAGTAAAATGAGTTAAAATTATCAACTTTTAGCAAAGTTGGAAATGCCAAATCATTAATGTTACATACATTGTGGTACTCAAGGTTCAAAGTATTGATACGCCAAATATGCATTTTGAGTGTTTGGAAGCTACATAACCTTTTTTTTTTCAAAATTGGCCAAGGGGCAGTTTAGGTCAAAACCCCAAAAGCCTTGTATTTCTTGTATCAGGGGTTTGCCAATATGATACAATATGCCCAATATAGGGTGTATTGTATCAAATTTTGAACCTTGGTAGTACCATAGCAATTGATTTGATTCTTTTAGAATGAATTTACGATAACATCAGTATCATTAGAAAGAAAAGAAACTCACTACTTCAATCCATGTCAATACTACTTTTCCTTGATGGTAACAGGTTATGTTTCATTAACTTAAAATCAAGTCACATGCTAAGTAAAGTTATGGTGAAGCTTCTGGAAGACATTAACCTTGACAAGTACAAGAGAAATGATCACTATATTATATGTAATGAAGTGTTGACAATCAAGAATCAATCATTATCATCATCATCATCATCATCCATGCCTTATCCCAACTATATGGGGTCAGCTACATGAATCCTGTTTCGCAAATCTGATATATTTAAAGTCATTTCCACGGTTAAATTGTTAGTGCTTAAATCATTTCTTATTACCCCTATGTCCTTTTTGGTCTAACTTGGTCACTTCAAGCCCCTTCAATGTGTATAAATCACTTCCTCTAACTGGATCAGTTGGTGGTCTTCTATGTGCCCAAACCATATTAATCTACTCTCTCTCATTTTATCACCTATTGGAGCTACTCCTAGGTTCCTATGGATAACTTCATTCCTAATCCTATCTGATGATGTGTGATCTAGTGCTCCCTGCTGGCAGACAACACGGACGTCAAACTGGGTAGGTCGCCTAGCTGAGCTGCAAAGAAAGAGATCAGAGTGTCTGGGTTGCTTTACCCAGGGTGGGCACTCCAATGCTTAAGGCAACGAAGAGTTTTGAGAAAGCTAAAAAGTAAGAGAGCTAGAGAGTTGTAAATGCTAAATCGCGCTTACCTTTTACTGTGAATGGGGATGCCTTTATATAGGATAGTTGTTGTGAGGCTCATGAAGCGCGTCTGAGATCTCCGGCCCGTCTGGTTCGGAGGCAGTTCCACGCCCAAAGATGGACTCCAAGTAAGTGGGTAATGTCTATCCAGTCGCGTTCGAAGCAAGCGGGGTGGTAATCGGCTCTTCCAACATGGCGACATGATCCCAGGGAAGTCGGAGACGGTATCCCGACCTAACGCCCAAAGATGGACTCAGCACGTCAAGCAGGTCACTAGTTGAACTCAAGTCAGGTCAGCGGATGCAGGTCGCCTCTTACGCAGACCTAACGTCTTGTCGAGCCATTCGTAGTTCGGTCTACCAAGGTGGTGCCAAGGTCGCCAAGGCGGGTGCAAGGTGTCTGAGGCACTCCCGAGGTTTTCTTACGTGGTGTTAAGATGTTAGTTGACTGTTTTGAGGTGCCACATGTCATCACGTCACTGGAGGGCCAAATCGCCCCACATCAGTTGCCCCTCACTCTCGAGTCAATGCCAGTTAGGCGAAGGGAGTAGCTCGCTGTCAATCTTCGACCCGTGGTGACTCATTCAGTCGGTTCGCAAATTGCTCGGCCTGTCTACCAAACTCGGCTCAAGGGTGGGCTAGCATGCAGCAAGATTCGAATTTCAAATTTCAAGTTGGGTGCATAAATTTTAAAATTCAAATTTGCCCGCAAGCGGTGTGACCTCGATCATTAATCCATCGTCGTATTGCCTCATCCATTGATTTTCCACACCCATGGCTATAAATAAGGGGTCCCATTCGCACTGTTATGAGATTTTCGACGAGAGAGTGGGGCAAGCAATTGGAGAATCCTGTTGGGAGATCGCTATCAGTTCGGCGGGCGAAATCAGATTGGTAGAGGTCGATTTTTGTTTTCCAAAAAGCTTGTAAGTCTTTTTCCTTCTTTTAGCCATGTCCTCAAGTGAGTTAGAAGGGGGGTTCTCTTATTCTACTCGGGCCGAGGAACGGACTTCAGTGCGAGATCAACGAGGTTCCCATATTAGGGCCTTAACTTTTCGGCAAGAGTCAGAAGCCAGCTCCCAGTTCGGTACCAGCAAGCTAAGTGGGGAGGAAATCATTGGTTTAGTGTTTGCATTCCACATCCCAAATGAGTTCAATTGTATTCAGCCCGACCCAGACCAGTTCCCTTGGAGCCACGACCGAGGCAAAGTCTGTGTCTTCAAGGAGGCATTGATTGTCAGCCTCCAATTTCCTCTACACCCATTCATTATTGAGGTCCTCTCTCTCTACGGTATTTCTTTGGGGCAACTCCACTCGAATGCCATCCGAACCCTTGTGGGAACAATTTCTCTTAATTACCATCTTGACTTTCCTTTGGACATAGATGTCTTATCGGGGCTATGCAGTATAATGAAGATTCCCAATGATCCTACTGTTTTTACTTGTCTTTCCACCGAGGTTATAAGCTTCTAGGAGGTTTCCCCACAAAGGTTAGGGACTAGAAGAATAGGTATTTCTTCCTTTCTCAGGAAGTTGGTTGGCCTATGGACACCGTCTGGCGACGTAAGGCGAGAAAGGTCTTTGAGGTCGAGTTCGATGAAGAGTTTATTGTTGAAGTCCAACACCTTGTACGTCAACGGTTACTAATAGATCAATTCTTAGCTGAGCCTATGCTCGTTTAGGTTGGCCTGGGTCCTATGGGTAGGTCAGCAAAATCATCAATTCCTTTTATATTGGAGATTACCTTCTAGCTCGGCTAACTCACTTTTCTTTTGTGTGGCTTCTCAGAGATGGCGAGTACTACTTTCCTCTTGGCAGCAACCAAGAGGCCCTCAAAGAAGAAGAGAAAGGTGGTGGTTGACTCCTCGGTTCACTCGTCAATGGAGGGTTCGACAGCCAATGCCAAGGAGAGACTCGCGTGCACATGCCCGAGGTCTTCGACCTTGAAGGGGGCGACGACCCCATGTCCGTAGAGCCCGCTCAGGTTGCCATAGGTCTGGTCGCTCCATCCCCTTAGGTCACCCCAAAAGAGTGCACTTCCGGTCCCTCTCACTCTGACATACCTCGTTTCATCCCCAACATCGACATTTTGATTGCCGGTTGTCTTACCAATCCTCTAGTTGCTCTGCGAATGGGGAGAGGAATCCTTCTCCCTGAGGACGTCCAGTACTACAATGGGCTCGATCCTTCCGATGTCGACACAAGGATGACTCAATGCATCCTTCAAGTGTGTAATCTCTATTTTTGATGTCTGCTTTTCTTTCATTCCAAGYCTTACTTGTTATTTTTCCTTTTTTACAGGCGAACACGATGGGCCAGGCCTTGCTAAATCAGGCCGCCTTATCCAAGCGTGAAAAGCATGAAATGTAGGCAAACATTGCCCTAGGCCCAACTAGAAGGAGATCACCTAAGCGTTGAGGCGGCTCACCGCAGTGCAGAGGAAGACCGCCAATGCTTCTTCAAGCTCAATATCGATATGCAACGCGAGTTGGAGCAGCCCAAATGAACCATCGCCACCGTAACCGACAAAGTGCAAACTAAGGATCGTCAGCTGGAAGAGCAGCGAACTAAATATACTAAAGATACTCACTGAGTTGAGATCGCAACAGTCAAGGGTTTCCACCTATCACCAAAGTATGAGCAGGAAAAGGTCGACAACGCCCTTCCTTCTATGAAGAGGGGATTTAAGCTATGTTGCTGCTTCCTCAAGTCCCTGCATCCCAACTTTTATTTCGGTACTATCTATTAGGTTGGTACCAAATGAGCTAGCCGTTCAAGTCAACCAAGAGCCTCTAACTCCGGATGAGGAGGTTGGCGAGATCGGCAATGTTGAAGAGGATGAGGGGACAGACAAGGTCGACGACGATTTGTAGGGTGATAAGGAGGGGAAACTTCCGGTGGGGAGTCTCTACTTACGTTCTTTAGGAAATTGTTGTACCTAGAGCATGCGTGCTCCTAAATGCTTCTTTTTAGAGCCTATGTGCTCTTGATTGTTTCTTTCCTTTTTTTTTGTTGAGTAACGATGTACTCTTTTCTTCTGTTTAATGGAACCACATCTTTGCACATCGTGTGTCTTTATCTTTTTGCCTTAGATAGTAGGCTAAGTCTTGGAAACACAATCCAAGGTGTCGAGACAACAAGGTGCACCAATTGCCTAGGTGCCAAAGCGACTAGAGTTATGATTTCAGCCAAGTCAAAATGATGTCAAGTTGTCGAACTGTCGAAGTATTCCAAGGTCGACGTAAGGGGCCTCAGAGCTGAAAGCGGTTTGGCTTCCTCTTGTGTATAACTTAGCCGAAGTGATCACAGTGTAGATCAGCTAGACCAAGTCGCCAAGGCGGGTGGTCTCATTTTTCATACTTAGTGAAATTTGTAGTCTATGCGGGCACAGCTCAAAACTTCTAAACTCCTCACAGATAATATCTCCTTAAGTTGTCAACATTCCATGCACGAGGTACCTGCCTCCCCTCCAACGTTTCGAGTTACTCACTACTGGTATGTCACGGTCCAAATATAGGCCAAGTCACGGACTTCTTCCACTAGGTCGAGGTTAGTCCACAACTCGTCCTCGTTAGCCTCCTCATTGTACATCTTAAACTACAAGGTCGGCACCTCGATCTCGGTTGGGATGACAGCCTCCGTCTCATAGGTTAAGTTGAAAGGAGTCTCGCATGTCACCGTCTTGATTGTAGTTCGGTAGGCCCAAAGGACACTAAGTAGCTTGTCCACCCACAGACCCTTAGGCCTTAGCTCGGGAGAGTCAAGCTTTGAGTCCGCATAGCAGCACAAGTAGGGGAACGTGAACAACTTGCGATATAATTGCTCGCCAATGATAATATAGCGAGCTAACTGTCGTTCTACCCTTCAAGCTACGTTGTGTTCTGCTGGTAGGGTCTCATGGCACAGATAATCAACAAGCAAGTCAATCCAGCTCGGTTCCGCAACCAAAACAAGAGCAACCTCTTCTGCCACCCTTTCTATGCTTAGTCGTGGCAGGTCTTCAATGTAGAGTGTCTTCTTTGTAATGTCCATTGCACCAACCAAATTCGAGAACGCATCGGCTTTGGTGTTTTCGGACCTCCGCACTTGTTGGATGTACCAAGAGTGGAAGTTGGGTAGGAGCTCTCTAACCTTAGTCAGGTAGGCCAACATGGCGAGCTCCTAGGCCTCATAATACCCATTCACTTGGTTCACCACTAGATGAGATTCATTGTACACCACAATATGTTTCATGCCAACCTCCTTTGCTAGTGATAACCCGGCTATCAGCGCCTCATACTCGGCTTCGTTACTCGAAGCTCGGAATGCGGACCGGAGAGCGTAATCCATCTTCACCTCGCTAGGTCCATAGAGGATCAGCCCAGCTCCGCTTCCACGTTGGCTAGATGAGTTGTCCACATGAAGGATCTACGGTTCTTCGTCCCAAGTTGAGTCAGATGATGCACTAGTTGATGCCTCCAAGGTGGTCACGAGCTCAACAACTTCAAGGGCCGACATGATGAACGTGCACTCAGTGACGAAGTTAGCTAGGACCTACGCGTTGATCGCTAGGTGCAACTCAAACCGGATGTCGTACTCATTGAGCTCTTTTGCCCATCTTATCAGCCTTCCCGAGACTTCAAGCTTCTAAAGGACTTGCCTTAGAGGTCAATCGGTTAAAACCACAATGGTAAGGGCCTAAAAGTAAGGGTGCAACTTACGGGCTACTAGCACCAACAAGAAGACCAGCTTCTCGATGTTCGGGTACTTGGTCTCCACAGCGTGCAAGACTTTACTCACATAGTAGATAGGTCGTTGCACTCTGTCCACCTCGCAAATTAGGACCGAGATGGCTGCCTCATCACTGGCAGAGAGGTGGTGTTTGAGATTGTCCTCAGGTTCCGGCCTAGTCAACAAAGGTGGCAAACTGAAGTACCTCTTGAGCTCGTCAAACACGAGCTGGCACTCTTCAGTCCACTCGAAGTCTTGGTTCTTTTTTATGGCCTTGAAGAACGAAGACACTGCCCAGCTGACTTAGACATAAACCAGTTCAAGGCGACTATCCAACCTGCTAGCCTTTGAAATTCTTTAATTGAACCAAGGGGTCTCATATCTAGGATGGCCTGGATTTTATCCAAGTTGGCTTCGATGCCACATTAGTTCACTATATACCCGAGGAACTTGCCCGGCATGACCTCGATGACGCACTTGTTCAATTTGAGCTTCATGTTGTACTTTAAAATGTCAAAAACACAATCTAGGTCAAAAATTAAGGAGTTTGAAAATCGGGTTTTCATAACCATATCATCAACATATGCTTCTATTTTATTTCCAACTTAATCAGAAAATAATTTATTTACAAGGCGATGGTAAGTCACCCCAACATTTTTTAAACCAAAGAGCATTACTTTATAACAGTACAAGTCTGTCTCAGTTACAAAAGCAATTTTTTCCTAATCGTCTAGATCCATTTGGATCTGATTGTAATCGGAGTAGGCATCCATGAAACTCAACAGCTCAAATCCTAAGGTCGTGTCTACCAGGCGGTTTATTCTAGGAAGTAGGAAGTTGTCCTTTGAGCAAACTTTGAGGTCGGTGTAGCCGACGCACATGCGCCACTTGTTGTTGGCTTTCTTCACGAACACTGGGTTGGCAATCCAACTCTCGGGTATTAGACCTCTCTAACAAAGCTTGTTGCGAGGAGCTTCCCGACCTCCTCATCTATTATCCTCCACCGCTACTAGGTGAGGTTCCTCTTCCTCTACCGGACTAGTCTGACTAAAGGATCAACATTTAGCCTATGAGTTATGACAGAGAGGTTTATGTCAGGCATTTCTACTGTCGACCAAGCAAAAGCATCTATATTTTTAATTAAAAAATTTACCATCCCAGAACACAGTGGTTCCGTGAGGCAAGCTTTGATCCGCACAATCTTCTCGGGGTCGGTATCCGAGACCGGCACCAAGGCGGTGTCCATGGGGCAAGCTCTCTCATCGTCATTCTCCGGAGGCAGCTCCAAATTGATGTCAACGGCCTGCTTTCCTTTGCCCTTTAGCATGGCCAGGTAGCACTTGCGAGACTCAAGTTGATCACCTCACACCACTCCTACTCCATAGTTTGTCGGAAACTTCATCAACAGATAGTAGGTTGGCACTACTGCTCGGAGGGCATGTAAGGCAAGGGGGTCACGATCACTAGAAAGTCGTGATCGAAGCATACTGAATTCAATGTCAAGTCCTCCTAACCCCCCTCCTCTTAAAGAGGTGTAAGCCTCCTTGTGTTCCGAAGGCTTACACCTCTTGCGTTCCGAACTACACCTCACGCCTCTAGGTAGTGGAACGCCTCGCATCATGCCTCCGCGTTTTAAAACATTGATCAGAAGCTAGTTTGGCTGCTAATCTTCTCAACCAACTTTAACCATTAAGTTAAACAAGAATCCCATCCCAAATCCAAGAAATGTTGTTAAATGCAAATATGTTGTACCAAGAATGACTAACATTCTGGTGGAAGACATTGAGCAAAATTACAAGTATATACAGGACTTCTATTTAACCATGGTCTGTTTTGAATATATAAAGCTAAGCATCTCACCTCATAGTAACGACGAAAATAGGCAACATCCCCCAAAATTCCTGGGTTAGTAAAGTTAACCATTGCAAAAAATTCTTCCAAGTCATTCTGCCAAAATAAATAAATAAATAAATAAATATTAAACCAATAACTGCTATACAACAAGAGAAGGTTCAAAGTTGAAGAACAAAAATAGTGTAAATTTTATCCAACCTGCATTGGAGTTCCTGATAATAGAATACGCCGTCTACATGAAAGAGCAGCTAGTGCCTGATTCAGCACAATATGCATAAAGTTACTAAGATAATGGGGAATATCATTATACCTACATGAAAAAATAGTGTATTCTAAAATAAAATCCAACATTTCTGCTTTCTGACCCGATTGGTTAATGTTTGGTCATTTTTCAGCCTATGGGCCTCGTCACATATGAGAAGATCGCAAGATCCACTTTGATCAAACTTTGATGAATGCATCCGGAATGTCTCATACGAAACAATGAGCACCTTACATAGTATATAATGAATCAGTATTAGTGTAATCAGGAAAATTGACAAAACCAGAGGTACAGAAGTTTACCTGAAAAGGGCTGTTAGGTCTTGTGAAATTATCAATACCAGAGACAACATCATCACGGGTACTTTCACATAGAGCAATAAGTTGAACTCTTTCCCCAACCCACTTCTTAATTTCTGACTCCCAGTTACTAACGAGACTAGTGGGAGTAACAATGATTGCCTTCTTAACCATTGGCTTCCCATCAAATCCCTGATGAAGAACAGTGTATAGTAATGTGATTGACTGTAAAGTCTTTCCCAACCTGCACAAACAAGACAAAATAATTACCCTAAACAATATGGCCAGAAAATAAGATCATAAGAGACTACTGGTTTGAAATCAAATGAAATACCCAAATTGGATTAGGCATTTACCCCATATCATCTGCTAGAATACATCCTGAAATACCCGCAGAACTGGACAATCCAGAAACACACTCAAACATGAACTGAACTCCTTCTCTGCATGAGAATTCCATCCACAAATATAAATTGAGTAAAACAATTGGAGTACTAATAAATTCAGATTACTAAAAGTCTAACATTGTGAATTAAGTGTTGCTCTAACATGTTCTAAACTCCAGTTCAAAGTTAACTAAAAAATTAAGGGGAAATCTAAAATAATATTAGCTGACAATTTTCTAATGTACTGGAGGATAAGTAATATTCAAGTGTTGAAATTACAAAAAAATATATATATATATATATATATATACTTATGGTACAAGATTAAAAAAAAAAGATAGTTAACAGTGGCGGACCTTGGTCACTATTAACAATTACAATTACCATTATAATGGCAGGGATTTTTAAAATCTCTATTATTGATCCAAAAATCTCTATATTGCTTATCCAAATTCTCGTGCTTTATTATGGAGTACCATAAATTTAACTAAAGAAACAATAGCAGTAAAACTTAGCTGCTATAATAACTCAGAACCATACTGCTACTGTAATATGAAATCATGAGCATATGTTCCAATTAGACTTTAACACTATGAATCCCAATATCGTATAGATTAGCTACTTGAAAAAGCAAAATACCTTTGATGAGGCCTAAGGAAACGAACAAGCAAAGGTTCCACCACTATTGATGTCATGTTCCCATATTCACCTTCAGATTCTTCAGGTTGCCACAATACCAAGGGTTCTACCCCTGGCGGCAGAGACACATTCTCCTCTGGAACATATTTCTCAACAACGCTTGAGGCACTCAAGCGGTTGGTTACCGGAACCAATGCGGGCCTTGAAGAACCCCATGGGACAAATCTCTTACGAGCCCAAAGACGGCGAGCAAGCTCTTCATTCTGGTCACTATATCGTTGAGTGCATGGAGGCTTAAATGGTTTCCTAGCCACGGCCGCTCCATCTGACACTGAAAGGACTCGAGGAAGTAGTGGCTGCCTTCTAACAACAAGGYTGCCCCTGATGAATCACAAGCATATAAAAAAACACCTTTAATCTTCGTGCATTTAACTATAATTTTATATTCTTGCAATAATTTGAAGATATTAGTTCACCAGACGTTGAAATAAATCACCCAGAAAAATACCATTATAAATCGAAACCCTATATAGACAACCGGAGGTCGTAACCAACCAACAGTACTTGGCCTAACCAATTCAAAGGAATTAATTGTGTTTCGGGAAATGTAAACCACTAAACAGGGAGGAAAATGATTTCCATCAACATGTATGGATTTGTAGCTTTTTATAGACCATGAGGAAGATGTAATTTTCTTGATGTACCTCAGAAGTGCGGCTACATTCTTAGACTTCCGATCTTCGTCGGACGGGGGAGATTCAGCCGGAGATCGCTCTTCATCATTGTCAACTTCGTCATCTTTGCCTTCGCGGTACTCGTCGCTGGAATCGCTGAGGTCGGAGTCAGACGCTGAGAAGACCCCTTCGTCGTCTTCCATGACGGATGAAATCCACCTTCCCGCGTTCAGGCTTCGCGTTCCCAAGGCAAGCGCAGCTCTACTTGTTTAAATTTTACAGAAATTTGGCGGAAAAGAGGACCCGTCCAAGGTCCAACGAGGAACAAGATACTCTAGCATCCAAGTTTATAAAAGAATCCATCGTATATAAACCGGGCTCTTCTCTTTCGACCCATACACACCCGTTTTCAAACGGTCGAAATTTGGGCCTCGTTCGTTCGTAGTGGAGCGGGCCAAAACATTATGGTTGTGTTTGGGTACCATTGCCTTCTACTTGAAAGGCCTTGGTCAATACAAATTTTAATAAAAAAAATATAGGCGTTCGATTCAGTGTTACCTTTTAAAGTAAAAATATCAAATTTAATGTTTCCTTAAGGCTGTGTTTGAAAGCGATTTAAAACGTCGTCAATGTAAATTTACATGAGGTTTTACACCGAACCATAAAATAAAAAAAAGTTACTATTGAGCTTCAGAAAGTATGGAAAAAGTGTTAAGTTTTTACATTGATAAAAGATGGATGTAGTATTTACGTTGGTAATCGATGTAAAACTTTACTTTTGATGTAGTTTTGCTATGATATAAAACTCCACTCCATACAAACAACAATAAATCTAAAATGGAGTTGAGTTTTATATAGATCTTGATTTACACTCCATCCAAACATCGACACAACTGAACCGAGATAAACTTTTTACATTGACGATGTTTTACATCACTTCCAAATGTAACTTAAATAAACAATAATAGTACCAAATGTTGTATTGATAACTCAAATATTTGTGGTATAACAAAAATATATTGTCACAAATGTTGCATTGTTAACCTAAAATATTGCAAGTAGAAGAGGCAATGATGCCAAATACAGCCTATATAGTTCTAAATAGAGATGCAACTTCAACCAAATTGGCTCGGGTTAAAATCAATGCTAACCATAACCGCCAATTGTTGGTGGCTCAATTGCAACCAAAGTTGGTTGTAGCAGGGATTTGGGGCCAAATCCTGTTGCCACCAAGGTTGGGGTGATTAGTTATGATATGGACATGGCCGGGATCAGGCTTAACTTTTGCAAAAATTTGCATAGACTTAGCCTGAAGTTTGTATTGAGAAATTGGGTCACTAAAATTTAGAGGATAAGCTCTTGAGGCGTGTTTGAAGATACTGCATTTAGAACGTTATTTGCCCCCACCCAATTTCACTGAATTTGCTGATGAGTTACATGTAAATCCGTTCCCAAGATACAACAAAGCCTTGGGCGAGAATATGCAACCAACAAAGTTGATGTCTCCGAATAAATATTCTACGAGACAATAATAGGCTGGACTGAGAGAAAGGGAGAGAAAAAGTGACTTTCGAAATTGTGTGTGCAAATGCTTGATTCATGCTCTTTAAATAACTTCTAAAGAGTAATGGAGCAAGAGGAAAGTGTTGGTTAAAAAAAGGCTTATTGAATAATAACAATTTCAGAAATCATATATGTTAAAAGGTAGTTAACAGCTAATGTCTGTTAACTTTGAATGGTGTCTATTGATCACACATAATCGAATCGTGGTCGTTGATCATATCAACGATCAGTCTCGCACCAAAAGTTAAAGTGTGAGCAAAGTGCACCTTATTGTGCTACACACACACCTGCGTTGCACAGTAACAACCATCCATACTCTCCTCTTTATATATAAACAACGTAAATCAACTCCTATTAAAAAACTCAAAATAATTCTTATAATTTTCCAACGTGGGACAAGTTAAAAATTGGTTTTAGTAAGAGAAAAAAAAAACTATTTTTTAAGACATGTGTGCAAGTGTGTTTTTTCTCGTAATTAACCAATCAAACCCCATTAAGTTTAATCTCTAATGAGATTAAAATCTAACAGTCTAGGCATGAAACTGTGTAAAGCTGAGTTCCAAGCCTAGGCCATGAACAGGTCTTATGGCTATGGCCTATGGGCATGGGAGGGATAAGCTACCCCGTCGTGTAGCCTCATGATTCATGAAGAGATGAACCGGGAAAAAAACCAAAGAAAGAAAGAAAGGCCCTAAACAGAAACCCACGTGGCCCTAATTCTAAGATTATGTTTGGTTTGTTAGAAAACGAAAGATATAAAATGTCAACTTAGGTTATCTTTGTTGAGGGAAAAGTGTATATATTGCATATGAAAATGATATTGTGACATTTTACAAGGGAGGCTCAATTTGGGAAGAGAACAAATACAAATGTGTACAATGTTTATAAATATCATACACAAAATTTTGCACCGAATATATTTGCATTTGCACTCCTTCCAAATTAAGCCAATGTGACAAATTACCCTTTTATCATCATCCTCTCTCTTATTTTTTTACCACATAAACATGTTTATACACATACATCAACGTATATATCTTGTATACTGAATAAACCTATACTAAATCAGTACTCCATGTGTCACCCTTTCTCTCTTTTTTTTTTGGTAGAAACGAACAAGATAATAATCATAAACTATCAAGTATCAGAGTACAAAACATAAGGCAATGGCCATTTTAGCCATAAAACCTCATTATTTGAAGGGGCATTTTTGTCCCTTTTTTATTAACCAATAATAACTTTCCCCTTTTTCCCTTTATTTTCCCAAAGTGCTGGTTGCGGGATTTGATTCCACGTCAATGCTGGGACAATCCAGCTAACACACCAATGAGTCAGCCCTCGATTGGTGTCATTTTTTTTTTGTCCCATTTAAGTGTTAGTGACTTATGCCTAGGTGGAAAAATTATTTACCCACTTAAGAGTATAAGTGATACATAGGAAAATAAGTTTTTCATAATCCCCACATAAATCTGAAAAAAAAACATGAATTTCTTGGTCAATGGGAATCAAAATCACATTGACCAACTATCACTATCTTGAGATTCAAAAAAAGAACGCTCCCTAAGAAATAAAATTTGGGTTAAGAGAATATTCCTGCAAATGTGTATCCAAGGTGAAGTTCCCTTTTTTTTTCACATTATAGTACATTCAGAGGGAGGGTATTAAACCACCTCCTTCCTAGGAATGATAAGTTAACGGTGTGTCCATCTGTTTTTTTTCTTGGTACAAACATATTTTCATGTTCTATTAGATGTTATACAAAAACTACTAAAGATAGCTAATTATTGAATAAATATATATATATATATATATATATATATATATATATATATTCAATAATGATTTATTTGTCCCATTCATTTTTTGGAAAGCTATTCAGGTAAGTAAATTTACGTATGTTCATTTGATTCTCAGGTAAATTATACAATATTTATAATCTGAACATTATTATATTAGTTTGCAATATTTTAAACGATCTATTAAATGCAACAAATGAAAAGCAAGATCATCATCTTAAAAGGCTAGAGATCGACTCACCCATACAGCTGGTTCATTTGATGAAGAAAATGAGAGTAGAAACAACAAGATACACCTCTCATGGGTGGATTATCTTCATTAGGGTACACGACAAGATACAACAATTCTTTCAATCTAAATATTTTGTGTATATATTCCTCACACAGAAAAATAGTTTAGCACACCTTCTGGCCTATGAGGCATGTAAATGTCTACTGATGTAAGGGGCATACTTGGGCTGGTCCCAGCCCGTCCCATTCTAAGTTGAGTTTGGACATTATTTTAGGTCCGTGGGTTCAGGCCTAAAACACTGGATCCAGCCTTTTTTTCGTGTCAAGTTTGGCCTTTCTCAAAAAAGCTCAGCCCGACTTAATAATATATATTATATAATAAAAAACACAATTTATTTAATAAAAAATATATAATATTTTTTTATTTCTCTTATCATTTTCAAAACAATAGTAATGTCTTTTATTATTTTTGAGTTTTAAGGGCTTTTAATATAAATTAAATAAAACACTTTTATTGAATAAAAAAAAGAAATTTTTTTCAAAATTCTGTCCAGACTCGGGTTTGAGCATGAATGTATTAAATTAATACATAAACAAGCCCGGCCTGATATCTATTTTTTTTTGACCTAAAGTGATAAAATGACATACAAAATTCATGCGGCCCACTGAACATGCCCCGCAGCACATCCCAACCGTGTAACGTGAATATCTCCCAATGACAACTTTGGGATGCACGCTGAAATGTGCTTGCGGAGCATCCATGTGGCGCATATGTGAACTCTGTCATACATGGCAATACAAGGAGTGATTGTGTGAATGCGTGATCATAATTCATTCCCACAGCATATGATTTACGTACTAACATTTGTTTAATATATATTTTGCAAGAGAAAAAAAAAACAATGGGCATGACATGGAAGAGAGAAGTAGAGAACGACACGGCCAAAAAGGAGGATTATTGTAAGCGATCATATATAAAAAAATTGGGAAAGGCTTACAATGACGATGACGAGGTTGAAGTCTGAGGGGATGTATCTTTTCCGTAAGATCTTGATTTGGACGAGGAAAAAAGTTCACGAGGGACCCATTTAATTGATACTTGATAGTGGTGGTTGATTCTTCATTATCTGTATCACCATTATTAAAAAGGTCAAAATTATTGATCAATTTATCTGGGGCAGATGGCCGTTTGGTTTGTGAGATCAAGCTCCTCTCTTATTCGAGTCTTGTGCCGTTTTCTCCCGTTTGCGTTTGCATGCCCGACACGTGTTATCAACGGACAAACATAACCTGAGTGCTGAGAGTGAGAAATAGAAACGCGCACGGATGACGGATACGCATGTTAACGTAACCTGGTCATTTTCTTGGGAATAGCCGAAAGGTACATTTTCACCTGTACCGAAAAACTTATCACCAATCAAACGGAATCATAAAAATGAAACCAAGAGGCTTAAATTGGAAGGGAGGGGTTATGAACTAATCATCCTCCAAGGCTCCAACTGTAATTCTGTATTTACGCTGACGCAATATGCATCGAACAGGATCACCCGACGATGAAGAAGAGGAGACGCTTAATCTGCTGCGCACAGGAAGATGTTCCCGATGTACGTATCTGGTGTCTTCTGACTAGCGTATAGATATCGTCTTGTGGGTAGGAGATCCGGACGCTTATCTGTATATGCCAGATCGGCTTCGGTCAGGACAAACCCGTGCTCAAACCGTCCCAATAATATCTTCCATGAACAAGAGTTGGGAGATATTCCCAATGCAAGGCTGTAAAGACTGTTAGAACGGGCATTGCCTTGACGGAAGCTGTGAGGACTGTATATGCAAGCGCCAGACGCTGAGACGCATACAACGAACGTTCAAGACTTGAAAGTTCTGTCTGTCTGTCATACCCAACTATAATTCGTCATGAAATGACCCAAGCAAAGCAAAGGGAGATGACGTGGACGTCCGTCAGATCTTTCCGCCGATCTTGCCGAGGAAGGCCAAAGTCGCCTTTGGAGAGAGAGAGAAAAGAAACCATTTGCTGTTGCCTCATGCCTGTTGGCTTTTCCCCCTTCTCAAAATTGGCTATCTGCTGTTCTGTTAATGAGGTCAGTCTAAAGTCTAATGGTTGGGACCTCCATCATTCATTTAATCTGCGTCCAATTTGTCCTTTTCCTGCAATGCTTCAATGACCAGGTTTCGGACATTCTAATGGATTTATGCGAATATGCTTTGTACTGACCGTTGTCCGTCGCCTTCGCTGCTTGGAAAGTCACATATTGGGCTGGTTTTGATGTTTTCTCAATTGGGTTTGTCTTCTTTCTATTGGAAAAGGGAGGAATTTTAGTTTGTTTTGAACAGTCTTTTTGTATATTGAGGATGTTCTCAATTTTCTTTTGTGTAATTTGAATTTCGGAGCCACGAATCGATGAATCTTGTGAAGTTTCTGGATATTGTCTTGGTCTATGTGGAGGTACCGGCGATATCCGATTCGGTGGTTTCTGCTTTGAGCTCAGAGTCTCGTTGCGCCTTAGTTTGGGGTCTGAAATTATTGCGAGATCCCGGATTATGTGATCTGGGTATTTGAAAACATAGGATTTTGGAAGGATGCAAGCGGTGGGGAGGTTGGGTAGCTACATCTCCCGAGGAGTTTATACAGTCTCCGGCCCCTTTCACCCTTTCGGTGGAGCTGTGGATATCATAGTAGTCCAACAGCAAGACGGGAGCTTCAAGTCGTCGCCTTGGTACGTTAGATTCGGGAAATTCCAAGGTGTTTTGAAGACAAGGGAAAAAGTGGTGACCATATCTGTCAATGAAGCCGAGGCCGGATTTCATATGTACTTGGATCACAAAGGAGAAGCTTACTTTCTCAAGGAGGTGGACAGCGAAAATGGAGATTTTGAACCTTCTTTTCTGTCCTCCGGAGAGGAGACGGATGAGCAATCTTTCAGAGGAGGAACAAAAGAGTCTCAGAGTTGCAACTCTGCTGCAAACCAACCGACTTCTGTTACTCCGATTGATGCGAGCAATGGTAAGATTGTGGCAAGGTCTCAGAGTTGCAACTTTGCTTCAAACCATCCGGCTTCTGTTACTCCGATTGATGCGAGCAATGGAAAGATTGTGACAAGGACGAATTCCCGTCGGCAGCGGATACTTGGGCTATTCAGACGGAAATCTTCCAAGGAGGACAGCAGGGCCGGTGATGGAGGCAGTGTTGGAATGGAAAGGGTAAGTTCGTTGGAGCGAGCAGAGTTAGCAGCTGACCTCATGGAGGTGAAATGGTCTACCAATCTGTTCACCAATAAACCTGGGGCCTCTACTACTATGCAAGCCATGGAAATTAATGGGGATTTGCAGGTTACTGATGGAAACGACCCAGGTAGCCAATCGCTACATGATAACGTGGAGAAGGATGTTGCTCTTCCTGTTGTACATGTAGAAACTACTACTTGTGACAATTCCGGGTACGAGTTAGGGAATACAGAGATCTCTGATGGTGTAACTAGTCATTATTCTAAACCACAGGACCAACCTGTGGAAACCTCCATATCAGAGGCAGGTGAATTGGACAAACATGATGTAACATCTGAAGTATCAACGTGTCAGGAGACAATGAGTGAATCTCTCTCCGAGAATGCGGTTCCTGATTTGCAGCATCTAGATTTAGTTGAGCTTGAAGTAACGCCAAACACTCATTTGTGTATAAAACAATATTCTGAAACTAAAATTCTTTTGAATAATGCTATACCGGAGGAAGATTGTGGAAACGAAAGAGTTCATTACTACATATACTCTGAAACGTCAGAGAGCTCAAATGTGAGGATGGATGAATCCTGTCAATCTGTTGAGACTACGGAGATTTCTCATGGAGGGTTTGAAGAGGTCCAAACTCATGCTGAGATTCCATGTGAAAGTGCCAGGATAATACCTGAGGTAAGGTCTGAACCAGAGTATGATTTATTCTCAGCCAAAGAAAATTTGAATAACATAGAATGTCCAGGAGAAACAGGTTCATCTGAGATTCTGGACACTGGAACCATCATGCAGAGTGAGCATAGTGCCGTTGATCCTGTTTTGATGAACACAGTAACAGAATGTGTTTCTTCCATTGATACATGCCCGGTTACTGTTGATGCTGACGAATCGGCAATACTAGAAGTTTTTCACCAAGATAAGATTGCTGATTATCTTACTCAGAAGAAGAATTTGAAAACTGAAAGACTGGAGGTTTCTGAGGATGGATTTCAAAAAATGGAAATTTCTTACTCTGACATCTCCAGTAATAATGAAGTGAATCTGGGAAAACCATCCATGGCTATAATGCCTCCTCCAGAAACCCTTAGTGTTGATTGCAAACTTGTTTCCATTGCAGAAGCAGAGATGCAGAATATCTGTACCCCTTCTAGACTTGACAACTTGATTTGTGAAGTCCAAGAGAAGGAGTATTTTGTGGAATACAATAAGATGGGCAACCTTTGTTCTTCACTGAAAATTTCTACTGAACAAGTGTCTGGTGTTGGTTCTGTCTGTGTGAAGGCAATAAATTCAAGCATTCCACCATTGGAAAGTCCAGAGGAAAATCAGTTCCTTTTCAGTGACATTGACAATTTTGTGGAGAGAGAGAACCGGCGCAAAGAGTTAATGTCTCCAGATTCTATGGGAACAGGAAGTTATCCTTTTATTACCCTGGAAGACATAGAAGATGAACATGAAGCAGTTATTAAAAATCATGAGTCATCCTCATCTTCAGACAATCTTCTTCAGGGGCATTTGCCAGAAGATTTTGAAGGCTTGCTTGGCAAACCAATGACTAAATCAAGTCCAATAAGCATTCCAAGGAATTGTATGCTGGAAACCACTGAAGATGAGCATGAATCAGTCAATAAAGATCAAGACTTGCTTTCATCTGAAGAGAAGCCTCTTCAGGAGCATTCACCAAGTGATTTTAACGGTTTGCTTGAGGACTCAATGACTAAATCAAGTCCAATTAGTATTCCAAGAAGTCATAAGGGTGTGGGAGAAGATACTGTGCGGTTGATAGAATCTCTACCAAATATCAGATCTCTTCTTGACAATTTGGAGGGATCTGATGTTGTTAACCATCTTAGCCATTCTCTGGACTCAAATTCTGGAAACTTCAAGTGGGGATTTCTTAGGAATGATGCTTCAAACTCTTTAAAGACAGATACAGACTCTGAACACAATTTAGTACAGGACCAGCTTGAGCTTGAAGATACTCAAACATCAGGGAAACTTGGAAATGTGTCAATCAACTCTGGAGTTGGTAAGAAGGCACGCTCAATGTGCACATTGTGACTCAATTACCTTTTGAGAATATTAGAATTCATCAAATTGTGAAAAACTCATTTACATTTGTGCAGAGATATCACTATGCAGGCACCTTCTACATGAAGGGATGGGTGATGATGCTGCATCTCAAGCATTTGATGCTGAAAAGGTGGATTTGGACAAGTTCACTTCTCTGGATCCTGATCTTGTGAAAAATGATAGGCTTGTCATAAGGATTGGTGGCCGTTATTTCCCATGGGATGCAGCTGCACCAATTGTTCTAGGGATGGGTGCATTTGAGCATCAACAAATCTTTGAGCCAGAAGGAATAATAGCTGTTAACAAAGTCAAGAGAACTAATGAAGTAGATGCGTCAAGAGCCATTGTTCCTTCTGGTGGAAGCTGGAAGCTTTGGCCTTTTTCTTTCAGAAGATCAAAAACCATGAGCTCTGTCCAGCTATCTCAGGGTGGCACTGAAGCTTCTGATGCTGCCAATCCTTCGGAGAAGACACATAATATGATTGCAGATAAAAATGAGTGCACTACTGCCAAAGTCACTAAAAAGAAGGTGAGATCAATTGTTCCAACATCTGAACAGCTAGCAACCTTGGATCTGAAGGAAGGACAGAACATGATAACCTTCACGTTCTCAACTGCAATGCTGGGGAAACAACAGGTTGCTATTTTTGATTAACTGATTTATTTATTTATTTTTTGCTTTTTAACCAAGATTCTCCTTTCCTACATATGAAATAAGATATTCTTGAACAGGTTGATGCTAGAATTTACTTGTGGAAATGGAACACTCGCATAGTTGTTTCAGATGTTGATGGTACAATTACCAAGTGAGACCTCCTGGCATAGTTTTCAGTTCTATTTCTGTGAATTTTCTCCCTCACTGGTGGTATCCTCTTTTATATGGGTAATCAGTAAGGGGCAGCATAATTTTCAGTTCAATTTTGTTGCATCTTAAAAGTCAGCATGAAGATTGGTTTAAAACATGATAAAAAGAATAAAAACTCCAAAATAGAAGATCATGGTTAAATAAAATCAAATAAAGCAAGACGGATGAAAGAAAAAATAGGAGCAGATTCATGAAGACTCTTATATAGGGAGGGCCTCACAATAATGGCAAAGAGGACTCACACATCAAAAAAATCATTAGAATTCCATAGAAGCTCCACTTCTTATTTCCTCCCTCAAAACAGTATCATGAGTATCTGAAGATACCACCTATGAACATTTTGTAGATTATGTAGTAATTGATTTGATTGGAGCTATAAATATAGCAAGGCATCAACCTAGTGCTTTGTTGCTTAGCCTCCTTGGCTATAAACCATGTTTCTGGTGCAATGCCATCTGTGCGCTTTTGCATCAGAGCCCTCATAGGTAGTACAGCTATGTAAAGCTCTTTTCTTCTTCATGAAATTATTTGTATACTTTCTGTTTATGGTCAGATTTTTAATTTCTTACAGTTTTTTTTTTTTTTTTGACGAAAACTTACCATTGTAATGGATGAATGTGCCTCCTACCACATTGCATCCTTGCCACAGATCAGATGTTCTTGGACAATTCATGCCTTTGGTTGGAAGAGATTGGTCACAAACAGGTGTTGCACATCTATTTTCAGCAATTAAGGTTTGTCGCATCTTATTGTCTGATTTTGCACTGAGAGTTTGGATTTTAAAATTCTCTTTCAACTGAAGGCAGTAATTCACATGATACTCTGAACACTTTGTGCTTTTCTTGCATTGCTACAACCACACCTTGATAAAAAGTGGGACCTTGATGGAACCTGTATTTCCTACCCAGGAGGTCTGTTAGGCTAGAAATTTGTTGAATCTTATTATCCCAATTTTTCTATAATCAGAACCCTTTCTTTTTTTGGAGAGTTTTCAAGTTAAAATATTCTTGGGATGTCAAACTAATTAGTTTGGCAACAGCACACTTGGTATTTTTCATGGCAGTGATGTTCTTGTGCATTGCAGGAAAATGGGTATCAGTTACTTTTCCTAAGTGCACGTTCAATTTCTCAGGCATATCTCACAAGGCAGTTCCTTTTCAATCTTAAGCAGGTGATGTATAGCAAGTAAAATATGAAAATTTAATATTCATAATAAGAATTTTACATGATTTTTTTTATCAGCAGGAATTTACATGATTTTTGGTATTGTTTTTTTTTTTTTTTTTTTTTTTATTTTTCTCTGAACAGTATTATATTTTTTTCTAACCAATACCATCTTCCTTGCATCTTGTAGGATGGGAAGGCACTACCAGATGGACCTGTTGTCATTTCCCCTGATGGACTTTTTCCTTCCCTATATCGAGAAGGCTAGTGGTGCATCTGCATTTTTTATTATTATAATTGATGTATTTATCTCTTTGGTTAACCTGATGTCAAAATTCATGCATACTTTTTTGTTGGTCAAAGGATGCACCAAACTGAAGTCAACTCAGACTTTTGTGTTAGGTTGACAGCTAAAGGCTGAAGTGCTGTAGTCGAAGTAGCAGAAGAGAGAAGAAGACCAAGAGATGCTGAGAATGTCGAACTGAATAACCCAGTTGACAGTACTATTATTTATATTAGAGTATGGTACAATGTTACAGAAAAAGACTAGAATGCCCCTGATTAGTGATGGGACACCCAGACAACTTAAAACACTAAACAAACTTAGGCCCATTAACACAAGCCCAGTACATAACAACTTAAACTCAAATACAGGCTAATAAGAACTCTTATCAGCCGAACCATCAATACCTAAAAAACCTTCAACCTAACACTCCCCCTCAAGCTAAGCATGGATGTCAATCATGTTTAGCTTGCCAAGAAGGTCCATGAACTTTCCTGCAGCCAACCCTTTAGTCAGTGCATCTGCAATTTGCATCTCAGATGGAGTGTAAGGAATGCAGAGTTCTCCCGAGACTATTCTCTCTCTAACAAAATGTCGATCAATCTCAATATTTTTGTCTTGTCACGTTGCACAGGGTTATTTGCAATGTTGATGGAAGCCTTGTTGTCACAATACAGTCTGAGAGGACCCTCAGCTTTAATACCAAGCTCATTAAGAAGGGCCCTGAGCCATGGGAGTTCAACAACCCCGTGAGTTATAGCTCGATATTCTACTTCCGCACTTGATCTAGCAACTACATTCTGCTTCTTACTGTGCCATGTGACCAGGTTCTCTCCCACAAATGTACAATTCTATTGTTTTTCCTGAATAGAATTCCCTTTCCTGGGCAAGTCTTCAAGTACCTGAGAATCCTTTCAACTGCTTTCATATGAGGGATCTTTGGAGAGTGCATGAACCGACTGACAATATGCACAACATAAGCAATATCTGGCCGAGTGAGGGATAAGTATATTAGCTTCCCTACCAATTTTTGGTATCTCTCTTTATCATAGTAGTCCTCCCCTACTGATTCCTGTAGGCCATGATTCTGTTATATTGGAGTATCTGCTGGCCTACACCCCATCATGCTTGTTTCCTCTAGGAGGTCAAGAACATACTTCCGCTGACATATGTAGATTCCYTCTCTTGACCTAGCAACTTYAATCCCAAGAAAATATCTCAAATGGCCCAAGTCTTTGATCTCAAATTCCGAAGCTAGAAACTCCTTCAGTCTTTTTATCTCTTCCAAGTCATTCTCGATAATTACCGTATCATCCACATAAGCAATGAGTGCAGTAAGTTTGCTATCCTGTCTCCTTATGAACAAGGTATGGTCTGCACCACTCTGAGTGTACCCCACTTTCTTCATGGCCCCACAAAGCCTCTCAAACCATGCACGGGGAGATTGCTTCAACCCATATAATGCTTTCCTCAGTTTGCACACCTTTCTACCAAAGTCATAGCCT